CACCTGGAGAAGACCACACCGGACGACCAAGGCGGAGGCGGGGGGGTGTGGTGAGCTCTGGGGGGATGCCAGGCCTCGGTGTCTGAGGTGGAAGGGTCTTGGCAGCCCTCGTGGGCCCTGAAGGCCTCATGCAGGAGTGAGCTGGGGCCTCTTGGTGCAGCCCCCACCTTCCAAACTGGAGGCTGAGGCTGTGCATTGCCGAGGTCCCAGCTCTCCCCTGGGTCTGCACAAGAACATCTGAGCCCACGAGCTGCTCCAGTAGGGAAGGCCAGGGGCCCAATCAGCCTTCCTTCAGCTCTTCTGCCCACTGATTAACCAGGAAATGTGATATTTGTTCTGAGCAGGAGAACAAGCTCTCCTGGGGAGAGGAATTCGGGGCTGGAGGTCCAGTCACTTCCAAGGAAGAAAAATCCCTGGAATTCTGTTGGAAGTCTGGGTCTCAGCAAAAGGAACAGAAATTCATCCCTTGTTTTTGGTCCTTTTTTACCAACTTAGTTTAGGTTCTGGTAGCCATGTGGCTGCCAGCATTATCCCCACAAGACACAGGAAAGCGAACAGGCTGCCTTGGGTGTCCAGCATCTCACCATCCCCTGTTGTGGTGCCTGCCTGTGTCCCGGCAAACCTTTTTCCACAGGAATCCTTTATCGATCCCTTCTGCCTCTCTCTGCAGGGCTCTCCAGAGATGATTTCCTTCCCCAGCCCCACGAGATGGGTGAGTAGGCTTGGCAGCACTCTGTGCCTCACTGGGAGGAAGCTGGTATCAGGGGTGAGTCAGGGGCCATGCCAGAAACAGCTCGCCCCCCTTCTTGTACTGGGCAAGATGGGGAGAGGGGGAGAGAAGATTCTGGTAGCTCCATACCACCAGGGAATTGATTGTGGGCTTGCAGGCAGGGAAGAGGGAGTGGGGAATGTGCAGTGGAGGGACTCAGGTGTGCCAGGAGCAGAGGGGCTGGGAAAGGTCCCCGTTCAGCTGTGAGGAGGGCTGCTGGGGCACAAGCCCGGGGTTAAAACAACAGGGTGCAGGCTTACAAGCTTGGGCTTGGGTGGTAAATGATCAAAGTCTGAGTCCTGCCTCCGCTACTTACCAACAAGCCAGTAGCTATTCCCAGCCTCAGTTTCCTCCTTTGTCCGCCTGGAAATCATAATGCCTCCTTTATTTTGTTAAATGAGCCAATTTTTGCAGCATGCTTAGCACCGCGCTTGGGCCATCGGAGGCTCCATAAATTTTGGCAGCTTTAGAAAAGAAAAACAAACAAAAGTATGGGACGGGCGATTCTGAAGAGCTGTATCAAGGTCCCAACAGTTACAGGGGAGGGAGTGATGGGTGGTAAACGGGAGCCAGGACGGGAGGATGGCACCGGGGTGGGGCAGAAGGAGAGTCCTCAGAGTAGATTAGCCAGGCTGCAGCCCCGGGAGAACAGGGTGGGAATTTCCAAGGACCACTTGTACTCATGGAGGAGTGGGCGGGGCGCCTAGTGGTGAGGGAAGTGTGTCTGCATGAGGGTTTTGGCCCAGGCCAGCGGTGAGAGGCTGAATGGGCGGCAGACTTCCAGACGTGCAGACGGAGGAGATGGAGCAGTAATAATGACTTGGACACATGGGAGGAAAAAATAGCTCAGGGACAAAGATGACGCCAAGGTTTCTGGCCTTGGGAAGCTCATGGCGCTCTGAGGTGAGCGTTGAGGGATGAAGAGGAGAGCTCCTAAAGGAACGGGGCAGGTAGTGGGAAGAGGAGGGGGGTTCCCCCGAGCTGAGGAGTGGGGTGGATAACAGGGCAAGGGGGTAAGAGTGGAGCTGAGGCTTTCCCAAAGCCGGGAAGGTGCAGTGTCTCAGGGAGAAAACTGAACATTCTGGAAATTCCAATGGCATTCATCTTAAAACACAAGGCACAGGATTCAAGGAGATCCTTAGGGCCAGCCTTGGAGGCAGCAAGCACGTGAACTTGGACCAGTAATTACCACCAGAAACTCAGTTTTTTTCTCTCCTAAAGTGGGTCTAATGATACCAGCCCTTTTCACTTGATGGAATCATTCTGTCATTCATTTACTTAGCCAACCGTTGAACACATATTTCTGGGTTGTCTGTTGGAGTCAAGCACTGTTCTAGGTTCTGGGGAAACAGTGGTGAGCCAGGCAGACAAGATATCTATTCCTTTGGAGCTTTCACTGTGGCTTGGGAAGTCAGACATGATTTTAATAGGTTGTTGAACAGGATTCTTCTGTGATCTTTGAATTTCTGCTGAGGCCGCAAAGACTAGAACAATAAGGATTAAATATTCTCACATTCCAAAGGGAAGTACTAGACACCTTCCTAAAGGCAGAACTGGTTCAACAACACTTGCGCCACATCCCTGGCTTCCAGTCTATACGTGAAAGGGACTGAAGAAAGTTGTTGAGGCAGGGAACTGTTGCATTAGTAGGCAAGGCTGAGATTTCCCCGGAGGGCACTCCTCAGCGCAAACCAAGCCCCAAAAGGACAAGTCATAGAGCTTGGGGGCTTCCAAGGAGAGGAGACTAGCATGACTCCCCATAACTCTCTCTCCATGGAGGCTGAGTTGCTGGAGGTTGCAAGCACGCCCCAATGGCCCAAGGCACAGCGAGCAATTTCTGGGGAGAACCCAACACGTGTCTTCAGGAATTGAGGATGGGCATAAATGAAGAGACGTGCGTGCACTTCCCATCTGGAGAACTCTGACTGTGGATCCTGGCCGGAGTGGCTTCTATGGCAGAGTGAGGAGCAGCCAAAGTCACCAGTGCTTTGCTGGCACGGACGGGCAATTCCCACAAGAGGCAAGGAGTACAGGAGTCTGCAAGAGGCCGGCCAGAGAGTGCTTTGCTACAGCAGTGCAGGGTGGAGGTCCTGCAGGGAGACTCCCAAAAGCCCACAGATGTGTCCATGGAAGAACGAACACTTGGCACCTGCCAGCCAAGGGCACCTGTCACATAGGATTTTGTCACTGTCCCTCTAACACCTCTCCTCCAATCCTGACAAGGGGAGCCACAGCAGAAAAGGGAGATTAGAAAAACAGACCATGCGAGGGGCACCTGGGTGGCTCAGTCAGTTGAGTGTCTACGTCTTGATTTTGGCTCGGGTCATAATCTCTGGATCATGAGATCGAACCCCGGGTCGGGCTCTGTGCTCAGTGGGGAGTCTGCAGGAGATTCTCTCCCTCTCCCTCTGCGCCTCCCCCTGCTCTCTCTCTCTCAAATAAACAAGTAGATCTTAAAAAACAACACAAAAACAGACCATGCCCTACTCTCCCCACCACAGGATCTCAGGCCAGGGGATAGGCCCATGGGGGGAGGGGAGGAGTATTAAATTGGATGCAAGATTGATTAAACTGGATGAGGTTTTGATTTGGACAGGACCAGACTTTTTAGTGCCTGAAAATTGGTCTTAATTACAGAAATGAGACTGTTCTTGTGGCGGCGGGGATGGGCAAGCCAAGGACTCTGCTTGAGATGTCATTAAAGGTGGAGAAGGGAAATTCACCATACCATGGTTGAAGGCAGTGAGGGGAGAAAAATGTAGCTCTTTCCTCATTGTCCCTCTCCAAGTTCAGCCCATTCAGTAAGTCAGTTACACAGGTAAACAAATAAAAAAGATACTTTCGACTGGGCATTCAAGCAAGGAAGGTAAAGCAGGGTGTCGTGGCACACGTGGGAGGACTGCTCTAGATTGGAGGCTCAGGGATGGCCACTCCAGGAGGCGGGCGGGTGATATTCGAGTTGAGAGGGGGAGCCATGAAGAGCCAATTCTGTAAAGCATCTTGGAGAGTAGTGCTCCAGGGAGAGGGCAGTGGACATTAATGTGGCTTGTTCAAAGAGCAGAGACAACACTGCAAGAGAGGGGGCCCAGTCATGCGGGGTTTTGTTGGCCAGAGTCAGGAGTGGAGGCCATAGGCCAGCACTAGGTATTAACGGTGCCCATCCTTTGGGACGTTATCCACGGGTGCCCTCCTGCCTGCTCTGTCACTCTTCCTTCCTGGGAAACAGTAGGCTGTGGAAATGCACTGGGGACAGAGCACACTGGCCAGGCCTTCAGGCTTGAGGGCCGGGGGCTATGGCATGAATGATGAGCTCATTGTTGGAGGTAGTCAGATGGGTGGCAGTCAGCATTCTTGCACCCCGCCCCCTCGCTGCCAACTCAAGGTGTGAGCACACACCAGGTCAATCAGAGACTCATCGATTCCCTCCCACCCCTCCTCTGGGACATACCCCAGGGTAGTCCAGAGAACGGGCTTCTGAGCCTGAAGCAGGAGGCCAGGATTTTATCCCCTTTTTGGACACATGCTGTTTCCTGGTGTGACCTTATTCAAGAGCCTCTGTGTCTATACCTCTGTTAAAAAGGTGGTATCTCTTCCAGGATCCGCCATCGCCGCCCCACGCCTCGCCTGGACCCTGACGCAGCAGGAAAAGGATTAGGATCTAGGAGCGCAGGCGGCGGGCAGCGGCTGCAAGGTGGCGGAGGACGCAGCCAGCTCCACTAGAGGGCGCGCCCCCCCCCCGGCGACCTTCCAGCGCGCTCGCACCCTGCGGCGGCGAGGGGGAGGCGAGCTCCCCGGCTGCCCCGCGCTGCCCCGCGCTAAGCCCACCCCGGAGCCGGCGCCCCCAGCGGCGGGGGCGGGAAGCGAAGGGGCCGGGCGTCCGTCCCTCGGGGCCCGGCCCTGTCACGCCGATCTTAATACCTCTCCTGGCCTCCTTCAGACCTTCGAGGCCGCAGCCTTGGTCATGCAACCGGGAGTTTGTTCCAGAGGCCAGAGGCAGGAGATAAATTCGGGACAGGTCAGCAGTTCGAGCTTGACCAGGACGAGAGAAAGGTGACCAGGCGCCCCTGTCCCGGCAGGCGTCGTCTCCCCTGCCAGCCGTCGGGTCAGGCCTGCGCTGCCCCCAGCTCCTCACGGGTTAACCCCCCTTCGCCGCCCGCTCGCTTCCCGGTGCCAAAGTGGGTGTTGCTGGAATTCCTCTCTCCCTCTCCCGTAATGAGGGGGCTGAGCTGTCCCTCCGAGGAGGGGGCATGGTGTAGATAAAAGAGACGAAAAAACAGGGGGAAGTTTCCAAAAATAAAAGCGTCCGTCTGCCCTTCGGAAGGCTGCAGAGACGGGAGAAGGCGTGAAGGTGCCGCGGCGGTGCGCGCCTGGCTGGAGACGAGCGGACGCCAGGCTCGGGGCGCGCAGCCCCGGGACCGCTCACGCCGCCCAGCCCTCGCCCCGGGAAGGCTGGCTTGGAGCCCCTAGACCGGGAGAAGCGGGCCGCCGGCCGGGGAGCGGAGCGCGGCCGCCGCAAGCCCCCGGGGCGGTTCCCCCCGCTCAGCGCTCTCCAGTCGCCCCCGGCGCCATGAGGCCCCCGACCACCCACCGCTGCCCCGGGCGCGCCCTGCAGAACCCCTGCGGGGGCCTCCTGGCCCTCACTCTGGCTGTCTTCGTGGGCATGGGCCATGCTCAGAGGGACACGGTGGGAAGATACGAGCTGGCTGGCAGGGACGCGAATCGGCTGCGGCGCCCCGGGGGCAGTCACCCCGCAGCGTCTGCAGCCAAGGTGTACAGTCTGTTCCGAGAGCAGGACGCGCCAGTCCCGGGCTTGCCGCCCACGGAGCGGGCCCAACCCGGCTGGGGGAGCCCCCGGAGGCCCGCCGACGCGCTGGCCAGGAGGCCGCCCCGCGCGCAGCAGCCGCGGCGAGCCCAGCCACCTGCGCAGACCTGGAGAAGCAGTCCCTCGGGCCAGCAGCAACCCGCAGCCCGGGCCCGGGCCGCCCCGGCCTTCTCGCGCCTCGGAACCCTCCAGCGGCCCGGGGCTGCGCCCCCAACCCCGCCGCGGGGGCGGCTTACGGGGTGAGCACTGCAGAGGAAAGCCGGGGGGGGGGGCGGAGGGAGCGAGGGTGGGTCCCCATGTGCTCATTAGTGGAGGGATGTGCAGGCGAGAGGAGAGGGCCCCGGGCTCGTGCCCTTGGTTCCTCCGGGACCAAGGCGGCCTCAGGACTGCAAGGAAAAGCACGGGGGTCCTCAAGCTGAGGCTCGGAGATCTGACCCACTTTTGTAGAGTTGAGGGCAAAGAAAAACACCATCCTCACCCTTTCGTACCAGCTCGCCGAGACCTGACGCTAAATCCTTTCCCAAGGCGCCCATGCTTTCTCCTGCCCCTCGCTAACCAGTGCCCGCAGACTCCCGCAGCACCGCGGGGATCCGAGAGGGAGCCCAGAGGGGGCAGCGGGGTGGGCGTTCCGGTCGCCTGAGGCCCTAGAGCGGTTGAGCGGGCTCAGAGCGCAGGTGGGTGGAGGACGTCGGGGCCCCAGAGTGCCAAGGCAGATGCATCTCCGGGAAGCGGGCTGGCAGGGAATCCTGAACTTGGCTACAAGTGTACGAGTTGGGACGCAGGTCGGGCTGGGCCCGCGCGCGGCTGGACGTGGGAGGGGGAATGGGCTCGAGGGCACTTTGGGCCGGAAGCCCGCTCGCGCCGAGCTGTGGCACAGTGGGTACGTGGGAGAGGGGGTCTGTGTGTGCGCCTGTGCAGCTAGGTGTCAGCGCGCGTCGCGCAATCTGCGGGGCTGTGTCCCCCAACCCGGCGATTTGCTTTTTCCCCTCTCCCCGGGCACCCCTGCTGCCCGCTGGGGGCGCCCTCGCAGCGTCGGGAGGCTCGGAGGCAACCCCATCCCCATGTCGGGGATCCTCATGGCTGAGGGGCGCTTGGCCTTGTCTGGGTATGCCATGTGTCTCCAGAATGGAGGGCAAAGGGAGCCCCGGGGAAGGGCGGGGCTGGAGGAGGGCAGGATCCGAGAGGCTGGGAAGGGCTCTGGCAGCCCTGTATGGCCTGGGCCCAATTTACCAGTTGATTTTAGTCCCAGTGCACAGCAAGGACGCTTGTACCCTCAGTTCTACCCTGGAGGACGGTGTGCCTGGTGGCCTTCTGCTCCAGGTTTTCCTTGGCTGCTGAACTCTTCCTATTTCCCCAGGATTGCCTCCCTTCGTTCAGATCTCTGCTCAGACAGGTCTGCTCTGGCAGACCTGCCCCACCCTGTCTCCCTTCACGTGCTTTACCTGTTTCTGCGTTTATTGCCCACACCAATGTCAATTCTACAAAAACAGAGGCTTTGTTTTGTGCATTGCTGTTACTAGTGCCTAGAAGAGAGCCTGCAGAAAGTTGATATTCGTTAAGTATCTGTTGAATGAGTGAATGAACTCCCTGCTGCCCCAGCAAGGCCCAACTTAGAACAGGCGGAGAGCAGACCCATGCACTGCCAAGTTGCTTACACACAGGATCAGTCAACAAGTGTTAATGGAGCACCGACTGTGTTTCAGTTTTTTCCTTTCCTGACGTGTGCAAGTGAATACATGCTTCCTAAGAGCACGTGTGCAGAGCCTGGGACAGGGGATGGGGGTTCATAGACAAAGGCATTGTTCCTGCCAAGAGAGCAACTCAATTACTTACAATGCAATTGGAGAGATGAACAGATATGTACCAGTGAATGTGCTTACTAATAACGGAAGCTTCCTATTAAGCATAAAGGATTGGGACCGTTATGGCTGAGGAGCTCAGAGGAGCTGAGGTCCCTGTGGCTGGATGGGCAGTATTCAGGGAAACAAGAGGGGAGGTGGCAGGAGTGGGGCCCAGAGGTGTAGCACTGCCCAAGGCTGAGGGCTTCTCACCGTTGGCACTGGCCTGGGGGTAGGATGCCACCCTGGTGTAGGGAAGCCATTGGAGTGAGGCTGGACGCAAGGTTGGGGCAGATCATGGAGGAGCTTATAGCTTAGGCATTTAGGTGCAAGTTGGGGGAAGGTAGAATAGTGGAGGTTGGGATTGGAAGGGTGCACTATTAGAAGTTGTGAAGTGAGGTGGGGATGTGCAAAGCAGATTGTCACCACAACAAAGCTGATATATGAGCACAGGTGTGTAAGGACACGGGCTGGGTGCCACCCCTAGGCACCTGTCATACACAGGTGCACACATCAAATCACATGTTGGGTTTGGCTCCTCCCCCAGATTCTTTTCTGCAGCTTTGATTAAGGGTGGGTTCCTCTGGCAGTCCACGCAACCACTCCAGGTGAGCTGAGTAGCAATCTTGTCCATCTGCTTCCTCTGTGCAGGCCCATTCTGGCTCATGGCTTCTGGCCAGGCTGACCTCTGGCAGTTGCCTAGTGGGCTGCTCACGGCCAAGGACCAAGTGCCACCTGCTGGTGAAGCTTGGAATTACATTACTACTATGGGCGATTCTTCATTCCTTCAACAAGTATTTGAAAACCTCCTGTATGCCAGGCTCTGTGCTGGACCATGGAGCTACAGCAGAGGCCAACACAGCCAGTGTCCTCACAGAACTTGCATGTAGTGGGGATTTATTGCACACAATGAAGATTTATTAAGCATGTGCCAGACACAGTTCTAGTGTGTGGGATACATTGTAACCACAGCAGACACAGATCCTGCACTAATGGAATTTATGGTCTACAGAGGACTTTTAAAGCCATTGTTTCACAATATTCAGTGTTTCTTGAACTAGCCTCACAGCCTAATAATTTTCCCTGCTCTTTTCTCTCTTGTTCTATTATTTTTCTTTAAATTTACACACTGTAAAAAATAGTACGATTTTGTATTTTATCTATTTTAAACTATTTTATATTATGAGGTTTTGTACAAACATATAAAAAAAGTTGGAAATAATATAACTAACAATCCAGATTTTTCAAACCTTAATATTTTGGCATTTTTTGCTTTTGATTTTTTTAGTTTAAAATCCCTCCATAAATTTGTCTCTCTCTTCCCAGAGTTAACCACTACCCTGAATTTATTCATGATTCCACTGTATGTTTTTACACTATTACTACAGATGCATGCCTCCATTAAATACATAATATTGTTTTGCATATTTTAAACTCGGATAAGTGATACCATACTGTATTATCCTCCTACAATTTGCTTTCTCGCCTCCTCATTAGATTTTTGAGTCTAGCCATGTTAATATAATCAGCCCACGTTTATTCGTTTTAACTGTGGTATATTATGCTGCTGTCTGAATATACCACAGTTTACCCATCCTCCTGTTTTTGAACATTTAGATGACTTACTTTTTTTTTTTTTTTTGCTATTACAAACAGTGCTTGACTCATTTTTCTACACAAATTCATTTTTCAAGGACACTTTGTATCACTATCATGGTTGAAAATAGTACCACTTGGCATAAAAAGAAGGTAATTGTAGGAAAATTGAAATGAAAAGAAAATGTTTTTAAATTCTAATGGTGTCTAACTAGAAGCTCAACTGTGTGGTGTGTTCTTCCTATTGAAAAGGGAGACTAGCAAGTGTTGAGGGAAGGACCTGGCATTGGGACCCAACCTCAGACTGATTTTTTTTACTGATTTAATCAGGCTAGAACGATCACTGAAAAGGGGGTCACTTTCTCACCACGTGACTCGCAGTGTTGAATGCTGTGGTTGTGGAAACCTAAAACCCCCTTTCCTAACCTGGGTGTGGCTCATCCATTATTTGGGAAACAGTGGATTAAGTGAAACAAGAAGTATTAAATGTATACCACGTGTCAGGCATTGTGTTAGACACAAAGAGGAATAAGAAAGAATTCTCAAGATAGTCAAGTTGGGGACACATATGACCAGTAACATGAGATAATCAGGACTAAATGACTGCAGTGGATGGGGAATGGGGAAGGCAGAGGATATATCAGGGGAGGCTTACACAGAGGAGGTAACATTTGATCTGGAAGTCTTGGATTATGCAAAGGATTTCAATCAGCAAAGAGAGGGAAGGCATTCTAGGCGGAGAGCAGTTTAAGCAAAGGCACCACATCAAAATGTGGCCCTATGTGGTGCAATTGCAGGACAACAAATTTTGTAGCCTTGGAGGATCATAGCCTTGGTTGTGGAAGGTTGTGGAGACAGGACAGGGGATGAGGGCAATTAGACTGCATAAGCAGATGGGGGCCTGGCCGGCTTCAAAGGGGCCAATGGAGAGTCAGGGGAGGTTTTTAACAAAGGACCAGCATGATCACATTGGTCTGAAGTGGACCAGGAGCTGTTCCAGGCTGTTGGCCAGATGTGTCCCTAAAGGTTGGACAATGATGCTGGATCCTGAGTTGATGTTTGCTGAGAGGTGTCACCTGGAAGGCTGGGCTCATATGATCTCATGGTGGTACCTTCCAAGGGGTCAGAACCATTGAGTCGGATATGCCCCAGCTAGTCAGACTTACTTGCTCTCTCTTGCTAGCCAGAGCCAGCTGAATTGTCATCTCTCAGCTGAATGGTCATCTCCCAGCTGAGTGCTCATCTCCCACCTTCCAGGCCTCTGCCCAAGATTCGAATATTGGCCTCGAAAGAACTCTCAGAGTCCCCCATTGATTTCCTGAATCTCTCTTGAGTGCCCTTCCAGCCCCAGCCTGGCCGCCCCTGCCCGGCAGCCTTTGATTCTGACCAGGCCTCGCTGTGTTCCTGAAGGCCCTGAGGGGCAGGTTGCTGCCCCCTATAGTCAGCTACAAAGCTGTCCCGAGGGCATCTGGGGTGACAGCTGGCTCAGGGGACCTCCTTGGGCTGGGCTCCATGCCATGACCTCCTAGTCAAGTAGGCCCCTCAGTCTGTGCTATCTGGACACTAACAGACCCTAGTTCTTAGAACACTCTCAGGCATGCAGTCTGTTTCCTTGTGAAGACCTCCTTGGCCTCTAAGAGGACTTGTCACCACTGCAAGGCGTAGTGACTTCCAAATGCGTGGGTAGTACACCCATCCCTTCTTCCAGTGCGCACACTCAGAAAGCCTGGGTATGAGGACCAGCCCCTTCCTCAGAACTCAGCAACTTGGGCCCTGACGGGGAGGAGGCTCTCATAGAGCCAGGAAGCAGCAGAAGGCCGCGGTCCAGAGAGGCTCTGAGGTGGCCAGGATGGCCCAGCTTTTGGCTGGGAGGACATTCTGGGATCTCGCTGGGAGGCAGCTCCCCACAACTTTGGGCCACAGGGCTAGAAATGGGCTTCAGCTTTTCCAAGCTGCAGGAATTTATTTTGAATGTTTTGTAAGGCTCCAAAAACCACACAAGCTTTGGGGTTCACTCAAATGTCAAATAAACTCGTAAACGAGACCAGATGCTCATTCTTCTGTCCACAGAGGTCACAGGAATAGCCCCCCTCTCTGCACCCTGATTCTCCAGCTCATTCTCTGCTGCCCCACTCAGCCTGTTTCAGTGAGTGCTCAGTAGACAATTTCTGATGGTAATAATGGGGTCCACACAGCCAGGGCCAGGCCCAGGCCCAGGCCCTCAGGAGCCTTCCCCGGGGGGAACCCTTCTAGAGAAGTCACCCAGGTCCAGGCATTTGGGTCTCTAGATGGAGAGTCAGGGCTGGTGAAAGCTGCTGGTGCTACAGGGGCTTCACCACACACCTGAAAGCAAAGTTTGAGTGAGTTGGGTGAGTACCCCAGCAGTTACTACAGACCAGTTTCTCCTGTGGGGGCCTTCAGTGCTGGCACCATAGCTGGGGAAGGACTATCCCCCATAAAATAAGTTCCATTCGCCTGCCCAAATAAAAAGAGTGTGCTCACTGTGCAGAGGCAGCTTAACCCAAGGCCCCAGTTTCATCTTCCTACCAGCTCATCACCTCAAGCCCCTCTTTTTTTTTTTAAGATTTTATTTATTTGAGATAGAGTGAGTGAGAGAGAGAGAGCACAAGCGGGGGGAGGAGCAGAGGGAGAGGGAGAAGCAGGGTCCCCACTGAGCCGGGAGCCCGATGCAGGACTCGAACCCAGAACCCTGAGATCATGACCCCGAGCCGAAGGCAGACGCCCAACTGACTGAGCCACCCAGGCGCCCCACCTCAAGCCCCTCTTAAATAGAAATTCTATAACCCCAGGTCCCTCTGTCTCCCCTTGCACCACGCACCAGCCTGCCCAAGGGCAGGCCTCCTCCCACGCACATTTGTTGGCTGATGATGAATATGTGTTTCCCGAAGACTATTTTATGTGTGTTTTCCAGCTTCGCTTAGATAGTCAGCATTTGTGGGGCAAAGGACCATGGTGTTTATTTTTTGGTGAGAGGCAGTGTAGGGTTGGAGCTTGACTTAGAGGCGGGGCAACTCAGGTTTGAATCCGGCTTTGGCACTTACTCATTGTTGAGCCTCGGTGGGTCATTGAACCTCTCTGAACTTGCTTTTTTCATCGTCTGCATCATCACTGTCATTAATTGTCCTAGAGAGTGCCTTCTTTGTGTTAGGGACAACCGTCCAGCTAGGCAGGTATTATTCCCTCCATCATACTGCTGGAGAGAGTGAAGTTGCCCAAGATCACGCAGAGAATGACGGGATTCAACTGTCAGATCTGCGGGATCGCCAAGTTCTTGCCCCGGGGCCACGTGGACTCCCTAGAGAAGGAGGACGGTCTGGCCAGCCTGGCAGTGTTCCCGGGGCCCTGCCCATAGAGGGTGGGACCATCCAAGGGGCTCTGGGAATAGTACCTTTCTGAGCACCCTTGTGCTGACCCAGTTTTGCTGACCCCACAGGAGGAATGTCTGCGGGGGACAGTGCTGCCCAGGATGGACGACAGCAAATAGCACCAACCACTGTATCAAACGTGAGTGCCTCTGCCCCATCCACCATTCTCCCCCTCTCTCCTTCGAGGTTGGCCAGGCCCAGGGACTCCGGAACCTGGAGCAAAGGTGTCTTCCCGGTCTGCCTCTCCAGAATGGAGGCAATGGACGGTGGAAGGGAGATTTTAAAAAGGCCTCCAGCTGAAAACGACTCTCAGATAAAATTCCCCACTTGTGTTTTCAAAGCTTCCCCTCCTGCTGCCCCACTGTGTTGATGCCCCGCTCGCCCTGTCCGTAGGGGCCCTTGGGCGCACACACACCCCTGTGATCTGCAGCACATGCCTGGCCCCAGAACCTCATTTCTGAGCACCATTCACCTTGCGTGCTATGGGAATCCCCCTCTGCCTTGGCCCCTGCCCCCGCCGGTTCTGGCCTCTGTCAGGCCCCCTGCCGGCATGAGGCTGTCAGATGAGGCTCCGATCCCATGTCTGGAGCAGTCTCCCTTCCTCCTGGCTGGCCCCGATGAGAGCAAAGAGAGAGTCGTCATCTTAGTTATGTGGAAAGCAAGGAGTGAGGCAGGAAGAGCGAGGGCCCCGATGCCCAGGCCTTCACTCACAGGACAGAGGCAGTGCCAATAAGAGCCGATGGCTACGCGGCCCGCAGTTTGTGCCAGGTACACTTTACGAGGCCCATGGGGCAGGGAGGACCACTATCCATTGGGCAAAGAAGGAAACTGAGGCACAGGCAAGTCACTTGTTCAAGGTCATGTGGCCTGGAAATGGCAGGATTTTGAACTCAGGTGACCTGACTCCAGGGTCCCTCTTCTTAATCACTACACCCTGCGGCCAGATAGCTTATCTGACCTCATCTTTCCGGGGCTCACTTTCTGCACCTGTGAGCAGAGACCAGCTACTCCCACCATGCGGGCTACTCCTGCTGGTTCACAGCTGAGCATTTGCTCTGCGCCCCCCACTGTGCTAAGCTCTTCACATGTCTTTTTCGAGCCTCTCAATAACCCTATGCAGTGGGTGTTTAGTCATCATTCCCACTTACAGACGAGGACGCTGAGTCTTGGCTTGATTGGGAAATGCGGCCAAGGTAACGCTACTCCAAGGCCTAGAGCCGGGGCTGGATCCAGGCGGTTTGACTTCAGAATCCCATACTCTTCTCTGTGGGGGTTTGTTCCCTCCCAACCCCAGCTGAGCCCCCAGGCTTTCTAGAATTTGGAATCCTCACAGGGGAAAACAGATACGGGATCTTTCTCCTTCACACTCCAGGGCTCCTCTTGAGGTCTTGTCAGCTCCCAAGGCCTTTAGGGCTGGCCCAGGAGCCCCACCTGACTACCCCCCTGCCACTACCTTCTGCCAGGCCCTAAGCCTGGCTGCAAAGTCTCGGTCTCACCAGAACCCCTTCCTGGCCAACGACAAGCCCCAGGTCCTATTCAATGTGAGGGTTTCACAGCTAATGGTCTGTGACAAAAACCTGCGGCGTTCCCAGCCCCAGTGGATGCCCTCAGCTCTGATTCTGAGGCCTCCTGAGATGGGGATGGGATAGGGACACGAGGGGGATGCTGGTTCACCCAGCTCTTGGTTCCGCTTCAAACCCCATGGCCCTGACCCTCTCCCAGCCTGACGGTGAAGCTCACGCAGAATCTTGGGTCTCTCTAAGGGTCTCCAGGTAGAGAAACCAAAACCCCCAACTCAAAAACGAACAGCAAAGCAGATCTTTCCCCTGAAAATTCTTTCCTTTTCAGGGAGCCTGGATGAGTGGGGCTCTCAGAGGACAGGCCCTCTCTGGCTGGGGGCCGAGATGGGGGAAAGACCCTTGTCCTTCAAAATGATAAAGATGAAGACAGTGTGCCTCGGGTGGTTTTGCTCAAGGTCACAGACTCATTGGAGGAGGTTCAGAGACTCAAAATCAGCAACTCCCGTGGGCAGAGAAACCGGGGATGTGGGTAGCCAGAGGGTTTCATGCTCAGCAGAAGCTTTGAGGTTGGGCCCTTGGAGCCTGGGCACTAGTATATTTTTAAAGCCCCCCAGGCAATTCTAGCCAGGGCTGAAAACCACTGAGCAGGGTTTGGTCAGTCATAGGAAGATGTGCAGCGGGGGCCCTAACCCAAATCTGGATGTTCCCACGAATCCTCTGGGATCTTATTTAAAGTGCGGATTCTGGGATGCCTGGGTGGCTCAGTCGGTGAAGCGTCTGCCTTCAGCTCAGGTCATGATCCCGGGATCCTGGGATCGAGTCCCACATCAGGCTTTTTGCTCAGGGGGGAGCCTGCTTCTCCCTCTGCCTGCCGCTCCCCACCCCCCGCTTGTGCTCTCTCTCTCTGATAAGTAAATTAAATCTTTTTTAAAAAATTAAAAAAATATAAAGTACAGATTCTGATTCAGCAGGTCTGGGCTGGAGAGTCTGAGTTTCTAACGAGCTCCCAGGGGCTGCTGCCTTTGGTACAGGGACCACACTTGGAGCAGCAGAGCCTTGGTGCACCCTGGAGGACCAGGGAGGGATTTGGGGTGGGAGATGGGGAGGAGGGTTGGTATGTTCTAGTGAGCTTGGCAGAGAGGGTTGCGGAGATTTGAGTTGAAGCTGGAGCAGGGTGGCTTCAGAGGGGCTTGGCCTCTCACCAGCTGCCCGAGGGCTCTGGGCCTGGGCCTCGCGCTCCGGCCCTCCAGCAGTGGAGGTTCTTGGTTTCCTAACTTGTTCATGATTTTCCCGTGGTGGTCTCTGCCAAACTGGAGTTTTGACGCTGGACACTCAAGGTTGGGTGAGTCGGCAGATTGTCAGAAGCAACGTGTGTGCGTGTGTGTACCCTTGTGCCCCAGCCGGAGGATGCTCCAGCATGCTGCCAAATCCCCCTTCAGCCTGGGAGTCCTCAGCCCCCCTATTTCTCTCCCGGTCATTCCCCCCACTAGACCCTGGCCCGCAGGCTGGCAGCCCTCCTGGAGGAACTGCCAGTGGGCATTAGCCTTTCCCACTTGAAGTTGCCTTGCCCACGGAAGGGCTGTGTGCTAATGAGTGGGGCCTTGTGCTGTTTGCTTGTTGCCATTTTGCTGCTAAAGAGCCTAATGAGAACCACGTGGGCGGTGGGGTGTTGCCTCTGTAGAATGTGGGGCTCTTGGCTCCACACCCTGTCAGCTGGTCCTCCTGCTCCCCCCCGCCCCCGCCGCCCCGTGGTTAGTATCTTCCTCTCCCCTCCCCACTGCTGCCCTCCTGGCTGCAGCCAAGAGTGCCAAGGCTGGGGAATGCTCAGCGCTCTTTCTCAGCAGTTTCACACATGTGGGGTGCTTCCCTGGCCAGCAGGAGAGGGGCCGACAAGGAGGGGTGGGTGACCTACCCCCATTGCCAAGAATGAAGTCTAGTCCCAGAACCGTGTGGAGACTCAGTCTGTCCCCTGGTCTCTGCCAGAAATCTGTGGGTCTGACCCACTACTCAAGTGCAGGGAGGGATGGCCCTTGTCCCCTGGGCCGTCGCGCGGCCGCCTCCTTCCTCCTCTCAGAGAATCCTCGGTTGCTGTGACCTCCCAGTCCATCTGCCTGGCAGGCCCCTTCCTTCGTCCCTGTCCGGTCCCTGGACCTCAGGGAGCCACTGCACCTGCAGATGGCCATTGTTGGAACCCCAGCTCCTCACTCCACCTTGGCAAGGTCAGAAGTTGGGCTCTCATCTCCTCCTCTGGTCGCGGTATCTGCCTTCCCTTCTGTGGCTTTGCCGGCTCTGCTACGGGGTTTATGGGTTTATGTATTTGTGGAGGCAGCTGCCGGGGGCCTGCCTGAAGTCCTTCCTGGGGCGGGGGGGAGCAGGAGCGGGGGGCACCGTAGAGTGTGGGCTGACTGGATCCTGTTTATAGTTAGGGCTTTTAGGAGACTGTCCAGCCTTCCCAGACTGGCTCACCCCCATCGCCACCCAACACACACACACGCTTTGGGGGCTTCTGAAGGCTCACACTGGGGAGGAAGATTTGAAGAATTCTTTGATTTCTCATTTTCTCTCAGCCTAGATGCACAGAGGCTATTCTGGGCGGGGCAGAGGGGGTCCCGAAGCTGTTGAGGAGGCGGGTAGGTGGCTTACCCCACCATCTCCACCACCAAGCAGTAAGGCTCAAAGTTAAGAGCATGTGCTTTGGATTCTGGTGCCAAATCCAAGGAGTTGTGGATCTGAATCCCAGCTCTGTGTCTTCAGGCAAGGGACTGGCCCTCTTCTTCCACAGAGCCTCAACCATAAAATGGGTATAACAATCTATATAGTGTTGTTTTTGAGGATTAATAATAACACTGTAGCTATTACCGTGGGTCAGGTACTATTCAAGGGACTTGATATTGTTAATTTTTAATCCTCACAATCCTATAAACTAGATTTGATCTTTCTCCCCATTTACAAATGAGGTTAGCTATTCGCCCAAGTCATGCATCCAGGAATCAGCAGAGCCTGGATGTGAATCCAGGTAGCCTAGCTCTGGAGTACAGGGATCATGCTCCTGATAAATGGGCAAGTCTGTGTAGAGAGCCTGGCACATGGTGAGTTTAGCTGTCATTTTAATCCACATCCAGGAGATTGTGCTGACTACCTGGGTTTAAATGCAAACTCCACCACTTAGCTATGTGGCCATGAGCAAGATGCTTACGCTCTCTGTGCCTCAGTTTCCTCACCTGTAAAATGTGCCTAGTGTTAGTCTCTGCCTCACAGAGTTGTAAGAGACAAATGAGATAACTCAGGTTAAAAGTTTAGTCCAAGGCCTGGCATGTTCTCTGTGCTCCATACACGTTTGGCCTTGACACCGAGGGCAGGGACTGTGTCACATGGCCCTTGGCATGACCCAGTGGCAGGTGCTCATTGGACACAAGGGAAAGGCTCAGTAAGCACGTACTGAATAATGCAGGGCCTATCCCAGGACTATGCCAAGAGGTCCCCTTTTGCTGCCTCACTTTTATTAACCCTTCCAGAAAACTCAGGAGATCCTGGAATGGGCCTTGGCATCTGCTCCTGCCTTCTTGGTCCAGAGCCTCTGAGTGCATCGTGGCTTTTGTTCTGGCTCACATCTCAGTGAGATGAGGACCCCATACCCCCTAATGTGGCCCTGATGTGGCCCCACCCATCCCATCTCTGTAATGACTCATCCCGTTGGGCAAAACTATGGTCAGGTGGGTAAGAGCCCCAACTTTGGAGCCAGACTCCTTGGGTTCAAACCCTTCCTCCATCACTTAGTAGTATGGTGATCTCAGGTAAGCTGCTTGGCTGCTCTCAGCCTCAGTTTCTCCATATGCTGAATGGGGAGAAGAATAGCACCCATAGGGGTGCCTGGGTGGCTCAGTCGTTAAGCGTCCGCCTTCGGCTCAGGTCATGATTCCAGGGTCCTGGGATCAAGCCCCGCATCAGGCTCCCTGCTCAGTGGGAAGCCTGCTTCTCCCTCTCCCACTCCCCCTGCTTGTGTTCCTTCTCTCACTGTGTCTCTCTCTGTCAAATAAATAAAATCTTAAAAAAAAAAAAGACAATGCTTTAAAAAAAAAAAAAAGAATAGCACCCGTAGTAGTTATAAGAATGAAGAGAAGTCATACATGTAAAGAAGTTAGCCCAGGGCCTCATAATGGTAAATGCTGAGCAAACATTAGAGAAAAGGGTCACGGCAGGGGTGGGATCACCACCGACTGGTTAAGAACTTCCAGGAGCTAGAGTCTGGAGCCTCTGTGTGGCTTGTCTCTGGAAGAACCGTCCTATGAGACTCAGTAGTTGGCAGGGAGTGGAGGAGAGCAAGGTGAGAGGTGGCTAAGGGGAATAATCACATGACCTCAGTGGAGACCCAACTAATGTGAAGGGTACGGTCCTAGCAAGAGACCATCGTCTCTCTTCCCACCACATATGGGTACCTGAGATTTTCCTGGTGAGCAGGCACATGCCCCCAAGGCTCTTTGCTCAAAGAAGTATTTAGGAGATGTTTTTACCCAGGGGATCCTGAAGCCAGGTGCTGTGTCCTGGGTCCACTCCCAGGGGAGTGCCTACTTGGTCCATGTTTGGTAAAGGACTGAGTAGGTGCAAGATCACATGGGTGGCCTGGTAGTTTCCTTCCTCCATCCCCAGCCTCCTCTTCTCGCCTTCTTGGCTGGCCTCTCCTTTTCTACCCAACATCTTAATGTTGGGCTTCCCCAAGACTCTGCAGATCTTCCAAATCTCCCATGCAAAGAGGGGGGCCATGGGAGCCAAGCCAAGCATTAGTTGTCCCCTATTATTGAGCACTAGTAGGCACTGTTAACTATAGTTATAGTAGTCAACAATAATAATAGCAGCCACGCTTTGTGCCAGAGACCACACTAAACATTTTAAGCCCTTCACCCCGTGAGTGGTCACTGTGTGATTCTCTGCTGTGCCAGGGCTGAGTCCTGGGTCCTCTTCTTTCTCACCGCACCCTTCCTGGAATGATCTGATGTATTCCCATGGATGGAAATCTGTGCTCACGACACTAATATATATATATAGATATATATATATAGATATATATATATCTATATATATATATATCTTCAGCCAGCCCTCTCCTCTGACCGCCAGACTCCTTCATCGGGATGCCTACTCAACATCTGCTCTTGATGCTCTCCAGACATCCCCAGGCCCAGCTTGTCCAAAACAAGCTCGTGGTTTCCCTCCCTCTGCGCCGGCTCCCCTGCCCAGGTATTAACCACCCTGTTAAAAGGCATCCCCACCTGCCTGAAGGCTCGAGTCAGACACCTGGGGGCCATCAGGGACACCTTCCTCACCGAGCTCTTCCTCTTCGGGTTTCACTTCCTAAATCTCCTGGGAGCCTATCTGCTGCTCCCTGCTTCCCCGGCTGCCTCTCTCGTCTGAGGCACCAGTGTGGGCTCCTGGGTGATGGTTGCAGCCGGCTGCCTGCTCTCCCCACTCTCTGGTTCTCTCTCCAGACATCATATCATAACACATCGCTGTTCCCTCCTTCCCGCTGCCGTGAGCTCAGCCTCATCTCCCAGAACCCCCCTCGCTCACCCAATCCAGCCTGGACTCCTGGAATACACTGCCTCCGGGTTCTTGCGCAGGCTGCTCTGTTTGCTTTCCCTCCTCTCTTTATGTGGCCGGCTCCCTGTCCTCTTTCCCGTCTCTGTTTCAAGTTCTCTTCCTCAGAGGAGCTCCCCTGACCACTCTGTTGGGGCTTCCCTACACCAGCCTTGTTATTCTGGATCCTAGCCCCTGGATCTTTCTCCCTCCATAACCCATACCCACCTCCATTTCGGTTCTTCTACTTACTTGTTTGCTTGTTTTGTGACCATCTCTCTAAGTTGGAAGCTCCACAAAGAAAAGGACGATGTCTGCCTTGCCTACCATCCTAGGTAAATAGTAAATGTTGAATGCGTGATCATTTTCTAGATGACACTGAGGCTCACAGAGGTGAAGAGACTTGCCCAAAGTCACACAGAATTTAAACACAGGTCTCTTTGGGTGCAAGGTTGTTCTCTCCTCCATGCTTTTGTCCTGACCTTCGTTGAGTTGTAAGCAGGAGTGTCTTCCCTCCCTCCTGATCTTCCCGGACCCTGGGCAGGGATGTGGTGCTGCCACAGAAGGGCTTGGTGGCTCCATGTCAGCCACAGAACTATCTTCCGTGCCCTAGAGCTGCTCCCCTGGAGAAGGCTGGTTCCTGGGCTCATCCCTGAAGGAGGCTGTCCCGGGAGCCCATCCCATCCTTCTCTCATCTCCAGAGGCCCCAAAGCCCTGCCTTTTCCCAGACAAGGCCCCGGGGCTGTGCGGATAGCCGGGTAACTCTTCGGCTTTTGGACAAGAGCTGGAGACAAACCCAGGCCTCAGCCCTGGGCCACGAGTCCTGCCCAGTGGTCTCTTTCCTCATGCCTGCTGGAGCCGGTGGGAATTGGGACTGCTCCCTGCCCTTGGCCTCCTGCCCCTGACTGGCCCAGCACTGTGGCATTTGTTAATGCAATTAGCAGGGCGGTCCATGCTGAGGGGCTGGGGGCCAAGGTCTGACTCACACCTCCCCTTCCTCCCCTCTGGCCGCCAAACGGTAGAGGCCCGCTTGGCCTGCCAGACGGCGTCTGCAGAGAGCACACGAGGGGCCAAGAAACGGCATCTTTCTCTCATTAGAGGCTTTTATGTGAACACAACTGCTATTTTGGAGCCGGCTGCTTGGCTGGCCCCTGAGCCCCAGGGCCGTTTCCAGCCGTCCCGAGCTGCGGTCCCAGCACAGCTGTGGCGGGAGCAGGGCAAGTCCTTGAGGACCTGACTTCACCCACAGCCTGGGGGCTCGGGGCCGAGCTTGGGGCCTGGAGACACGGCCCCTGGGCCGAGCCCCTGTATGGAGAGGACAGGTCCGGGTGGATTCTGAAGACACGTGTATGGGGACCAGACAGGGATTTCCTTGGCCTCAGGGATCTCTGACATCAGGCCCCTTTCTGTAGAAACCAGAGGTCAAGGCTGTGGAGAAACTGCTGAAGGCCTAAGTGGATACCCCACCCCTCTAAGAGAGTTTCCAAGGCTAACCGAAACCTCTGGGTGGAGGCCGAAGGTGGGGTGTCCAAGGCAGGGCTGAGATAAATACTGAGGGTGGGTAGGCCTCTGGGTGTGGAAGGGGACAGGGCCCCATCCTGAGGGAGGGACCACTAACTCAGTGGGTAGGTTCTTTGTGTCCCATTGACACAGATTTTAGGAAAGATGGAGATTTCATCTAGGGAGCAGCTGAGCTTCAGGTGTGGGGGCGCTGGGCCCAGAGTCTGATCTGGAGCTAAGGTTCATCTCCCAGACAAGAGGGGATGGTGCTGGAGGTCTTAGAGGAGACACAGGGTTAAGGGACCCATCTTGAAGTCAGTGCCTCATCTAATAGGTCACAGATGGAGGGAGAAGGTATCTCTGGGCGGTGGGGGTGGGGGTAGGGATAGAGAGCAGACCAGCTGTATTCAACACCTGAAAAGCAGCCCTGCCTCTGTACCACAGGGCTTGGTCCATCCCTTTACCCAGGGCCTGACATTGCCTTTCCCTGGGAAAACAGTGGTGGAAGAGAAGTCCAGAGGCTGGCTTGCCTCTGCCGCTGGGAGATAGATGGTGGTTTTTCTTAAAGCTTTGCAATGCAGTCCAATAGAACTTTCTGTGCTGATGGAAACGTTCTATAGCTTGTTGTTCAACATGGTAGCCATGAGTCACATGTGGCTAATGTGACTGAGGAACTGAATTTTACACTTTTTTTTTTTTTTAGATTTTATTTATTTATTTGAGAGAGAGAGAATGAGAGACAGATAGCAAGAGAGGGAAGAGGGTCAGAGGGAGAAGCAGACCCCCCGCTGAGCAGGGAGCCCGATGTGGGACTGGATCCCGGGACTCTGGGATCATGACCTGAGCTGAAGGCAGTCACTTAACCAACTGAGCCACCCAGGCGCCCAATTTTACACTTTTTTAAAAGATTTTTTATTCATTTATTTGACACAGAGAGAGAGAGAGAGAGAGAGCGCACAAGCAGGGGGAATGGCAGGCAGAGGGAGAAGCAGGCTCCCCACTGAGCAAGGAGCCTGATGCGGGGCTTCATCCCAGGACCCTGGGATCATGACCTGAGCCGAAGGCAGCTGCTTAACCAATTGAGCCACCCAGATGCACCATTTTATTTTATTTTAATCAATTTCATTTTAAATAGCCGCCTCCAGCTTGTGGCTACAGCATTAGACTGGAATGCATCCTCACTAGCATTCTGTTTTGTAGCCTTTGCAGACATGACTTCTGCAAAATGTCCTAAAATAAGACAATTAACCACAAAGCATTTGTCCCTATCATGGGCAAAGGGCAGTTAAGACATAAGCCCCCAGATGTCAGCAAAAAGAGACCATCAGTGGGGCGCCTGGGTGGCTCAGTTGTTAAGCATCTGCCTTCGGCTCAGGTCATGTTCCCAGGGTCCTGGGATCGAGCCCCGCATCGGGCTCCTTGCTCTGCGGGGAGCCTGCTTCTCCCTCTCCCACTCCCCCTGCTTGTGTTCCCTCTCTTGCTGTGTCTCTCGCTGTCAAATAAATAAATAAAATCTTTAAAAAAAAAAAAGAGACCATCAGCATGTTGATATTAACCTAATAGGTAGACAGATATGTGACCAAAGCCCTGATTGGCATGACTCAGCACACCCTGATTGCTTAAGAAAGTTCCACTGAAGAGCTCATAAAAACCCCTAAACTTAGAAACTCTGGGGGCAACCTCTCAGGCCCCCTTCCTCTCCGGTAGCTTTCTACTCTTGTTCAATAAACGTTGCCTTGCTGCCCACCAAAAATAAAACAAAAAAGACTGTAGTTCATAGCACAGCCTTGGAGAATGCAATGCCCTTCCACAGCCACGATCTCTCTTGCAACTCACATAACTTTTTGAGGCAGGAATTTTCAGCCCCATTTTGTAGATGAGATCATGGAGGCACCAGTCCAAGGTCACACAGCAGGGATGTGCCTGAGCTGGGGTCAAACCAGATCCTCCTGACTCCCGGCCTCATGTTCTTTCTAATACCAAGTAGCTGATCACAGAGGCTCTGAGCGGGTGGTAGGAGCAGGCCACATGGTGAGAGCTATTTCCAGAATCCCTCTAGGCCTGCCTATTCTGAGTTTGGTCTCCTCCCAGAGGCAGGGGTTTGTGTGGAAAATCTGAGCAAGTCTCTGCTCCACTGTTTTGGAGCCAAGTGAAGGTAGAAGGGGCACAGCCAGAAGGTTGGGGGTTGGAGGAACGATGCCTTCTATTTCTTACTTTCAAAGCAATTTCGGGAGTTTTCTTTTTATTCCCCTCTCTTTTGGCATCCTGCTAACTGCACAGAGCTGAACTCCCGAGGCTGAAACTTCCCACATGTCCAATCCTCAGTGAGGAGGAGAGGGCCAGGAGAGTGTGGGAAAGCCAGGGTTCAGGAGGAGCCCAAATTATGAATGGCTGAGAGCGGGCATTGGCTCGTGAGCACAGGGAGGCTGATAGAGCCTCGCTTGCTGGTTGTCTGAGGATGGTGGCCTCTGGTTGGCGGGGGAGTGGCCGGGGGGGTGGGGAGGATGTGCCCTCGCTGGCTAAACATGGACATCAGGGCATCCCGCTCCACAACCTTTACCAATAATCAGTCAATGAATACACACTAAAGCCATATACCCCATCCTGGGTTCAATTCTCAAGTATAAGGCATGATCTCTGCTCTCGTGGGAAAATGGGAGACATGGGGCTCCAAGAACAAAACATGAAGACTTCCCTGCCGGCCATGGCTGGGAGTTTTCTCTCTTAGAATTCTCATAGCGCTGCATGGAACTGCCTCTCCCCGGGCCCTCGGCATTTCCTTTTTTTTTGCTTTATCCAACAGTCCCTGCCATTCATTGTCCATTCTGACATGGATGGTTTCCTTTCTGATACTTCAGCTCTGTAATCTGTGCTCATTTGACAGGAATGTTTTGCTTCAGTCTCCTTTCAACAAGAGGCCACATGACCACTATGGCCAAAGGGTCCCAAACTTTTGGATTGCATGCACCCATAAAATATCCCCAGACACCACAGTTACCAAACTACACTTGGCAGCTTTTCATTTTGCCAAGTGAGGATGTTAGAAATCCAAATTACCATTTGCCATCACTTTTAATGAAAAAAAAAAAAAAAAGAACACACACACACACACAAAAACAGAAAAGACACGATCTCAAAATAAAGGATGCTTTTTAAATGGGAAAGATAGCATTACACAAAAACTCAGGAAATGTTTTATTTATTTTATGGCAGACCAGTAAAAACTGTCATAAGAATGTACCCTTTGACAGATGGGCCCTAGGAACCACCACTTTGAGCCATTTGGGGGTGATTTTCGGGGTAGTGGAGAGAGAAGAAAAGAGTTTATGTGCCAGACTCAAGATGCAGATGCTCGGCTCAGAACAAAAGTGTGACCACTTTTAGGGAGGATGTCCGGTGGCTCCCTGCATCTTGCTAAAACATGTACAAATTGAGAGAGGATGCAGATGGAGTGGGCGAGAGCTGGCTCAACACCTCAGAAAACCTGACACTTGTTGGAGGATCTTCCTTGGCAAATCTGACCTCTGTGCAATTTCAAAAATGGTTGATCCAGAAAGGTTATATTCCCAAGCAGGTTTTTTCCATCAACAAATTGGGCTGGCTTGGAAGCCTTTTAGAACTTTTATTTACCCCAGTGTTACATAAGTATATAAAAGCTATTTTTATGATTTCCCCCAACCACCCATTTTGTACGAGCTGTTCATTGCACCCACCAAAGTTTGCCAACCCTGGTCCGAGAGACTTGCAGTCATGCAGTGTTCATGGAAAACCACTCAGGCCTTCCCTTTTTGTTTCCTCCCAAAACTAAAGCAGGGCCAAGACCTGCCCTGGGCAAACCTGCTTCCCCAGTGTTCACCAGCCTTGGTTTGGCTGCCAGGCTGGTCTCTGGTGGTGGTGGTGATGGGGCCTGGTGGGTGGTCAGGTGGGGGCCAAGTCTGCTTGGGCAGATGGAGTGGCAGCCAAGCCATAGGCCCAAATCCCGCCATTGTGGCACTTTGTTTTTGGGGAAGCGCTCAAGTTTACAATTCTCTGACATGGTCTATTTATCTGGAGACCTGGGGCTTGCCAGGAAGTCATCCAAGGCACTGAGGAAAATGCTCTGGCATCAGGATCCAACTCATGTTTGGAATCCTGAAGTGAGACCTGGTATTTCCCCCACTCTCCCCTGAGTGAGCAGATTGCCCTTGATTGACATGATGCCCAATCAACTCATCCTTTGTGTCTCTGATCAGCATCACTTCCTCTAGGAAGCCTTCCCTGACTTTCCCTTCTTCCATGTGAGACAGTGCATTTTTTTTTTAAGATTTTATTTATTTGAGAGAGAGAAAGTGAGAGAGCATGAGTAGGGTGAGGGGCAGAGGGAGAATCAGACCCCCTACTGAGCAGGGAGCCCAACTCCAGGCTTGTACCCAGGACCCTGGGACCATGACCTGAGCAGAAGGTAGGCCCTTAATCGACTGAGGCACCCTGAGACAGTACACTTCTTAAGAGAGAGGTCCTCTCGGGGCACCTGGATGACTCAGTCAGTTCGGCAGCCGACTCTTGATTTTGGGCTCAGGTCATTACCTCAGGATTGTGAGATCTAGCTCTGAGTTGGGCTCCGTGCTTAGTGTGGAATCTGCTTGAGAATCTCCTCCCCCTCATCCCTCCCCCCACCCCATGCCCTCTCTCTCTCTCTAAAATAAATAAATAAAATCTTAAAAAAAATGAGAGGGGCCCTCTCTCCCACAGGCTGAGCTCATACCTAGTGAGCACTCTATGAATGTTCACCGAATGAATGCATGAGTTGGTAAACATGGTCCATCATCATCTAAGATTTCTGGTGTGGGCTTTGGAGAGCGATGGGGTCCTGAAGTCTCCACCACCTGCAAAGGTGCATTTGGTGGCTGACTGGAAGCCAACAGATCCCTTTGTTTCATCATCGGCTCCGGGTCAAGGTTCAGAAACGGTAGGG